CCTAATCCCTGGAAACTATAAATCCATTTCATTACGTGGCACAAGGGACTTTTAGGATGCGATTACTTAAGGATCTTGAGATGGGGAGATTATCCTAGATCATCTGGGTAGGCTTGATGTCATCACAAGGGTCCTTAGAAGAGGGAGGCAGGGTTAGAGAAGGAGATGTGATCATGGAATCACACAGGCCAGAATGAGGAGGGGTCATAAGGAAAGTAATGTGGTCAGCTCCTAGACGCCAGGAAAAGGCAAGGAGATGGATTCTCCCTAAGACCTTCCAGAGCAAACCAGCCCTGTTGACATCTTGGTTTTTAGCCCAGTGAAGCTCGTTTTGTTTTGGACATCTGGCCTCTAGAACCATAAGATAATAAATCTGTGTGCTTTTAAGCCACTAAGTATGTGGTCATTTGTTACAATAACAATAGGAAGTAAATGCAGGGTACACGTCTGGTTTGTTCGCTGCTTCAAATCTAGTGCCTAGTACAGTAGCTGGTACACAGTAGATGCTTAATAAATACTGTTAATGAAATGAATGGATGAATGCAGTCTGAAGGCCAAGAAGAAAAGTTAAAGAGAAAAAACTGCAGCTCTGGGCAATGCATGAAATTCAGGACATTCATTTGAAAAATACTTAATGAGTGCCTTCAGTTGTAGGCAATGCGTTGGGTTTTGGGCACGGATTCATGAGTGAAGGCACACTGCCTGGTCTCATGGAGCTCACATTCTGATGGAGGAAACACTTAACAAGTATGTAAACCAGATTATGGCACAGAGTGATGAGCATAAAAGAGGGACTCAGGACAGACTGATGGAAAGGGGAAGGGAGGAAACACTCTCATGAGCCCAAGTGGCCCAAGTGAGGTTTCAGAAATCCTGCAAACTCCACTAAAGGCAAATTTCACCTCCTTTCTTCATTTGAGCCATTAGAATATGCCATTTCCTGCAGTTGGGGTGTGTGTGTGTGTGTGTGTGTGTGTGTGTGTGCGTGCGCGTGTGTGTGTTTCAAGATGGCTCTAGGTGCCTCCAAAGAAAGAAGGTATTTGAACGCTCCATCCTTAGAAACCCATAAGACAACCATTTCCAAAGCCTCTTCATCTATCTTGCCGTGGTGGATGTAACCACAACTCTGAATTGTTAGCCCCATGTTACCGATGAGAAACGGTCCTAAACAGAGGCAATGCCATGTTCAAAGCTGCACAGTTAGGAAGGAGCAAAGCTGGGATCCAACCCCAGGTCTGTCTGTCCATGCAGCACTCTTGACGCCACCTTACACTGGGCCATGTCCCACACTGCCCCAGGACTCAGAGAAAGGTAGAGAACAGGAGTTCCACCCAACTGGCAGCGCACAGTCACAAATACCATGCTGCACACGCCACGCTTGGGGTTCTAATAGCCTTTTTACCTCATGTCCTGAGGCCAACAGATGAGTCAAATGGCCGGTCACCCCACAGCCCCTTTTGGACAAGAATGTTCTAGATGAATCAGTGCTGGAGACATCATTATGCTTAGGCTTTAGCTTAAATAACCCCAGAAAACTCAACATCTGGCAGGGACCCACAGCCAAAGCTCCATTTTTCATCAACAGAAGCTCTCAGTCAAGACTGGGACAGCTGACCAGACCTTAGTACAAACAGGACAAGTACTCATGTCCCTGGGGGTGTTTTGCTAAAACTGCCTAAGATACAGGTAGATCCAACTGCGCTCCCAAAAGGCTCTATTTTGTTTTCCATTTCAGCCCTGAATTTTATTATTCGATTCTAAAATGGATGCATACTCATAGACATTGTAGAAATGCCTAAGACAAAGTCCCTCTCCTCAACAACTGCCATGAAGTTCTTACAGACTTTATTGCGCACATGTGAACACATATACACACACAGGTACACATACATACGTATATGTAAATATTTTACAATAAATAGAACGTTATACTGACGTCTTTGCAAATCACTTATTTTCTACTTAAGAAACATTATGGATAACTTTCCAAGTCAGGAAATTGATAGAGAGTACTACATTCCTTTGAAAGTTTGCAGAATATTTGGTTATACAGATATATCTGTGTATTCAACCATTCACCTCTTGATGGGCATTTGGGTTAATTTCCATTTTCACTGTTACAATGAAGTCCTTATACACACATCTCTGCACCCTAGTGCAAATGTTCCTGCATATAAATTCCTAGAAGTGTTATACTGGTCAAAGGGATGCACATTTAAAACTTTAACAGGGCTGGGCATGGTGGCTCACGCCTGTAATCCAGCACTTTGGGAGGCCAAGGTGGACGAACCACCTGAGGTCAGGAGTCCAAGACCAGCCTGACCAATATGGTGAAACCCCGTCTCTACTAAAAATACAAAAATTAGCTGGGCATGTTGGCACACACCTGTAGTCCCAGCTACTCAGGAGGCTGAGACAGCAGAATTGCTTGAACCCGGGAGGTGGAGGTTGCGGTGAGCCAAGATCTCGCCACTGCACTCCAGCCTTGGCAACAGAGCGAGACTCCATCTCAAAAAAACAAACGACAACAATAAAAACTTTAACAGAAAATGCCAAATTACCTTTCCCAAATGTTTAGTTATGTTCATATTCCCATGTGAAGGCATATGGGGATTTCATCTTTCATTCTGCAATTCTGTCTAGGCCCCCAATTAATTAGCAGTGAAGATAAGAAGTGCAAATAAAGGTAGCCAGTGTGGTTTATTATGATTGTGTTTAATAATAATGCAAGGAGCTCAGACTTGTTGAGACCTTCAATGTGACTGTCACTCTGCTAAGCTTCGTCCATGTATTATGACATTTCTTTCTAAAACAATTATCTAAGGTGCATACTATTATGACCTCCATTTTGTAGATGAGAACGCTGAGGCCCAGAGAGGCAAGTTATTTGCCCAACATCAGACAGACATTAAGCGGTAAAACTCAGATTTGAACCTAAACAGCTTGGCTGCAGAGCCCACATTCTTAACTGCCATGCCAAAGTGCCTTTCCCCAAAGGACCCCTTAGCCCAGTCCCCAAAGAGATCCAGGACTTCGTCATGACCTGTCATGGAGCAGGAGGGGATAAGGTGGCACGCCAGCACAGCAAATTGTCAAGTACTCCTCCTTGAAGACTCTGGCTGAGGGAAGGAAGGTGCTAAGGGCTACCCAGATTATGCCTGGCTAGGCAGATCTCTAATCTGAAGATGCCAGCAGATTCTTTAAGGGGTGAAAAGAGCTGTGGTGCTTTTGTGCATAGTTCTCCCATAAAACGGCTCTTCCCCATCCCTTGGTCCATAAACAAATGCCAAACAATTTTAGAGAAAATACTCCTAAAATCATTGTTTCCGGAGAGTGAAGTAGCTATTGGAGGTTGGCATGGGCCTCCCCCAAGTGTGGGTGGTCATGGGAAGTCTAAGGGTCTTTTTTTCCCTTCATCCCCTTCTGAAGAAGTAAAAATGAACAACCCTGGAGATGGCAGTGGGGGCCTTCTGTCTGTGAAAATGCCTGGCAATGAATCGGTGGCACTTCCTAAGATGGTGCAGCTGGTGACTCACGTTGCAGTCCTTGGTGGCTGCCAGGTGAGTGGCCCTCGCACTAGGTGGATATGAGGCTGTTAAATTCAGACTTGAACTTAACAAAAAACCCAAAGTTCCAAGAATTCAAAATATACCCCGTCTCTGTGGACATGGCCCAAATCAAAACAGTATGGGCAGGTACTGTGACTGGCTTGTCCTCAGATGGGTGATGGCATGTGGGTGCTGCCCAGGTGTGGGGCAGGACCTCCATTTGCCTCCTTGCCATTCACTCATGTCTGGTTAAGCTTTAACCCAGGAGGTGTGAGCTGTGGCCAAGGACCTGGGTTTTTTTTCATAGCATGAAGCTCGTTGACTCAGGAGGAAATCAGACCCTAGGCCAGGGCATCCAGTGGAACGTTTGGTGATGATGGAAATGTTCTATACCTGAGCCATTCAGTATGGCGGCCACCAGCCACATGTGGCTACTGAGCCCTTGAAACGTGGCTAGTGCAACTGATAAACTAATTTTTAAATTACATTTAATTTTAGTTCATTTAAATGTAAATAGCCACACATGGCTAGTGGATACCATATTGAACAACACCTGGGTCCAACTGGCCACACTGGTCCCACCACCTTCTTCTTGAAGTCTGTTGCAGTGACACAAATATGGCTGAGTTGGAAACATTCTTAGGGCCCTAGCACAGGAACTGGGCTAGGCTGGACCCTGGAAGAGATGGAGAGATTCTTAGGTCTGGTCTGCCTGAAGGAAGAACAATGTCCCATTCTTAGGTCTAATGACAAAGGAGGCCAAGAAGCCACAGTGTCCCATGAGTGGCTTCTCTACTATCATCTCATAGCTCAGTGCATATTCCCAGCCCAGGTGCCCTAGAATTCCTGAGCTAGAGGAACCTTCCAGATCATCTTGTTCAACCACCTACATCTTTTCAGAGGTGAGACACAGCAAGAATGCAATAGACCTGGATCTTGACTCCAGGAGTCCAAACTACTCAGTCATAACCCCATCCTGACATCTGAGTTAAGACTCAGTCTGCAGCCCTGCTCAGATGTGTGCCCCTAAGACCTCCAGTACAGACTGTCAATGCCAATTTTAACCAATTTAGCTCATAAGACAACTGTCAACTCCAGAGCCAATGGCTCCCTTCTGTGACTTAGACTTAGGTGAAGACCCTGGGTTGTGCCTTGTCAAAGACAGAGTCTCTAAGAGTTCCTGCATCTCTTTGAGTCTCTGTTTCTTCATCTGTGAAATGAGCTGATAATGCTTACCTTGTGGCTGTTCCAAAGATTAAATAAGCGATATAGGATAATTGCTTAGGATACGATCAAGGTCGGTCCATGTCCTTCCTTGCCCCTCTCTGGTCATGGACCTATCGCCTTCCAGCATAGACTTGCTGCATCAGGGCTCTGGAGTGAACCCACCCCCTCCCTCATCTCTGTCCCTCCAATGCTGTAGATCCCATGTCACCCCAAGCATGGAGGTACCTGGCAGGTTGAAGTTCTTCTGCTGCCGTGTGCACTGCGGGGAAGGGTGTAGGGGAGAAGGCGGCGTGGCGCTAGGAGGGAGGGGGGGTGCTGGCGAGGAGGGTGTAGAGGATGTCGTGGAGGAGGGGTTGCTGCTGGAGTCTGGCTGGTAAGGGACGGGGATGTGGTCCTGCAGAGAGAAAACAGGGCAGGAGTCAGGGACAGACAGGGAAGCAGAGACACAGCAGAAAGAGTGGGCTGAGCAGGAGAGGTCCCCACCCCAAACCCCACAACAACCCTTGCCCTTTTCTCAACCACCAGATCTTTCTGCAGTCCCTCCTGCTTCATCAGCCCCAAGGGGCTGCATCCAGCTGTGGAAGGAACAGCCTCTGGAGTCGATTTCCTGTCCACTGCTTGGACCCCACAGTGAAAGGTGACCACATAATGAAAGCCACACAGGTGACAGCCACGCACCCTGTGCCTCTTTGATTCTGAAAAACCCCATGCAGAGGTGTCCAGAATACCCCTCCCATCCCAACACCTCTCCTCCCAAGTGTTTATTAAAGAATCAACAGCCTGACAGCTTCAGAGAGAATGTGAGAGTGAGCCTTCAGCGTCTTAGCTCGGGTCACAGCTGGAATCAGCTTGGCCTCTCCTCACCCCAGACCAGCTCAAAAACAAGGATAGAGATAGAATCCATCTATGCATTTTTGGAATAGCCTACTGAGGTGGACTTCTGAGCAGAGTAGTGAGTTGAACAGCAAACCCCAAAAGATATCCACCCGGGACCTCTGAATCTGATCTTATTTGGAATATAGGGTCTTTGCAGACATAATTTGAAGTAAGTGTCCTGAGTGAGATAATCCTGGATTTGGGCAAGTCCTAAATCCAATGATAAATATCCTTATAAGAGACGAGGGGGAAAGACATGGAAAGAAAGGTCACATGAAGATGGCGGGAGAGATTGGAGTGATGCAACCACAAGCCAAGGATTGCCGGGGCCACCAGAGGCTCGGAGAGAAGCATGGAACAGATGGTCCTTCAGAGCCTCTAGAAGGCAATCCTGCTGGCATGTTGACATTGAGTTTCATAGTCTCTAGAACTATGTGACAATAAATTTCTGTTGTTTCAGCCACCTAGATCATTTGTTACAGCAGCACCAGGAAATTAATAGCAGGATACGGAGTCAGGAAAACCTGGACTCAAATCCCACAGCCACCTCTTCTCTGTGCATCCTGGGCAAAATGCCCAACCTTTCCATTCCTCGGCTCTGTCTTCTGTAAAATGGGAATAATGATAACATCAAGTGCACGGGGCTACATGAAGATTAAATGATGTGGAGGCACAGGAGGGAGGGAGGCAGGCAAGGAGGAAGAGTAGCTGTATGCATTGCAGGCATGTTCTCCCGAAAAGAGACAGATTGGTGCTGCCTGAAGCTTGGAAAGCATTTCACCTCTCTGGGACATTTTGCTTTCAACAGATGGCAAGAGATGAACAAAAGCAGCAAACGTCCACATCACTTAAAAGGGATTCCTGCCTCTCAAAGCCAGTAGAGCTGTGTTCCCAGGGGAGCCTTCATCTGTTCACCCACAGGACAGTGGTCGCTTGATGCCTCCATTACTCAGAGGTCCACTCCTCAAGTAGTCCAGGTACTCAAAAATGGTTTAGTGTGGTCAGCAGGTATGCTTATCTATCAACTCCAAGAGTAGGTGTGGCGAACACCCACTAGCAAAGGAGGTCAAGGGCAGAAGGCGAAATGAACATTCTCTCTCCAGATGCTTACTGAGTGGCCAGCTAGGTTGTACGTTTCATTCTACCAAAGCCCACTCCACTGCCACTAGTTTCATATTGCTTCTGGGCCAGTGAGTCTCTCCTTATTTATTTATTTATTTATTTTAGATGTGTTCTCACTCTGAGGCCTGGGCTGGAGGGTAATGGCACAATCACAGCTCACTGCACCCTGGGCCTCTTGGACTCAAACGATCCTCTCACCTCAGCATCCTGAATAGCTGAGACACAGGCATGCACCACCATGCCCAGCTTTAAAAAACTTTTTTTTTGTAGAGACAGAGTCCCACTATGTTATTCAGGCTGGTTTCAAACTCTTGGGCTCATGGGATCCTCCTACCTTGGCCTCCCAAAATGCTGGGATTACAGGTGTGAGCCAATGTGCTCAGCCTCCTTATCCTTAACATGGGCTAAGAACATCCAGCTTGTAGTTCTGTGGTGAAGTTGAAATGAGTTATATATCTACCTACCTCCTTTGTACTGGGTAGAGGCAGTTTGTCATCAATAAATGGTAGCGATTATGTTAATGATAGTAATTAAACTTTTTATTTTGAGATCATTGTGGATTCACATGTAGTCGTAAGAAGAGAGAGATCTTATGTTTCCTTTACTCAGTTTTCTCTACTGATAACATCTTATGAAACTACAGTACAATATCACAACCCAGATACTGAACTGATACAGTCAAGATACAGAACAGATCCATCAAAACGAAGATCCCTCATGTTGCCCATTTATAGCCATGCCCATTTTCCTGCTCTCTCCTCACCATTCTCCCCTAATCTTTAACCCCTGGCACCTCTAATCTAGTCTGCATATCTGTTCAGTATAATAAACACTAGCTATGTGTGGTTTTTGTTTTTGTTTTTGTTTTTTTGAGATAGAATCTTGCTACCTTGCCCAGGCTGGTCTCAAACTCCTGGGCTCAAACAATCCCACTGCCTCAGCCTCAATCCCAAGTAGCTGGGATTAGAGTTGTGCACCACTGTACCTAGCTCTAGTCTCCATTTCCATAATTTTATCATTTCATTGTTTTATCAGTGGAATCATAGATTACGAAACCTTTTCAGATTGACTTTTTTCCCTCAGAATAATCCTCCATAGATTCATCCAAATTGTTGCATGTATCGATGGTTTCTTCCTTTTGATTGCTGAGTGGTACTCTATGATATGGATGTACCAGAGTTTGCTTAACCATTTACCCACTGAAAGACATCTAAGTTGTTCTATATTTTTCACTATTGTGGATAAAGCTGCTATAAACATTTATTTACAGGATTTATATAAACATAGGTTTTTATTTCTCTGGAATAAATGCTCAGAAGTACAGTTTCTGGATAATATAGTAATAATATGTTTAGTTTTAAAAGAAAACACAAAAACTGTCACTAGAGTGGCTGCATCATTTTACATCAGCAGTGTAGGAATGATTGATTTTTCTCTGCATCTTAGCCAGTGTTTGGTGTTGTCACTATTTATTATTTTAGCTATTTTAATTGGAGTGTAGTGATATCTCATTGTGGCTTTAATTTGCATTTCCTAATGGCTAAAATATTGAACATATTTTCATGTGTTTACTTGCCATCTGTATATCCTTTTTGGTCTTGATTACTGTAACTATATAATAAGTCTGGAGATGAGGTAGACTGATTGCTCTCACTTTATTATTTTTCAAAAGAATAAAGCTATTGTAGATATTCTAGTTCCTTTGCCTTTTCACATAACTGTTAGAATAATCATGTCTTTATTTAAAAAAATAATCTTGCTGGGTTCTTGATACAAATTGTGTTAAACCTACATATGGATTTTTGGAAGAACTGACTTCTTAACTATGTTGAATCTTCCAATCCATGAACATGGTATGTGTATCAGTTTCCTAGGTCTGTTGTAACAAAGTACCATAAACTAAGAGGCTTAAAACAATGGAAATTTATTCTCTCACAGGTCTGGAGGCCAAAAGTTCCCAGTCAAGTACTGGCAAGGCCGTGTCTCAGGATCCCTCTGAGACTTTAGGTAGAATCCCTCTTTGCCTCTTCCTACCTTCTGGTGGTGGCCAGCAAACCTTGTCATTACTTAGTTTGCAGCTGTATCACTCTAACTTCTGCCTTTGTTTCACGTAGTGCTCTCCCCGTGTGTCCCCGTTTCTCTTCTCCTCTTAAGGATGAAAGTCACATTGGATTAAGGGACTACCCTTCCAGTATGCCCTCATCTAAACTTGATTATATCCGCAAAGTTCCTATTTCCAAAGATCACATTCACAGGTCCTGTGGGTTAGGACTTTAGCATATCTTCGTGGAGAATACAGTCCAGCTGGCATCTGTTTCCATTTATTTTGATCTTTGTTTCCTTTTACCAGCATTTTGTAGTTTTCGGCATACAAGCCCTATACCTGTTTTGTCAGATATACACCAAAGGATTTCCATTTGTTCTGCAATTGTAAATGGCTTGTTCTAATTTAGGTTTCCATATGTTAATTGCTACTATATAGAAATATAACTGATTTGTATTGATCTTGTATTCTGTGACCTTGCTGAATTCACTAATTCTAAGAACTTTTAAAAATATATATATTCTTTGGGATTTTTTAATTTTCTTTGGGATTGTCTATATAGATAACAATGTCATTTGCAAATAAGGACAATTTTATTTCTCCCTTTCCAATCTGCATGTCTTGTTTCCTTTTCTTGCCTTACTGCATTGGCCAGAACTTCTAGCACTATGTTGAATAAGAATGGTGAGAGTGGACGTCCTAGCTTGTTCCCAGTCTTTTAGGAAAACATTCAGTTTTTCATCACCAAATATAATGTTAGCTCCAGTATTATTTTAGGTGCTTTTTACGAAGTTGACGAATTTCCTCATTTTTTTTTCTGATTTCTTTTATCATGAATGGTTGTTGAATTTTGTCAAACAATTTTTTGTATCAGTTGATATAACCATGTTGTTTTTTATTCTTAGCTTGTTAATATGGTGAATTATGTTAATTCATTTTTCAGATATTGAGCCAATCTTTTATCCCTGAAATAAACTTCACTTTTATACATTGCTGAACTCTATTTTCTAAATATTTTGTTAAGTATTTTACATCTATATTAATAAATAATATTAGTCTATAGTTTTCCTTTTTTGTAGTCTGGCTTTAGTATCAGGGTAATATGGGTATATATCATGAATTGGAAAATACACTCTTCTGTTTCTGAAAGAGATTGTGTACAGTTGGTGTTAATTCTTCTTTAGATATTTGGTAGTACTCTTCAGTGACACCATCTGGAGATTTCTTTTTTTGGAGTATGATAATATTAAAATTACAAATTCAGTTTCTTTAATGTTTACAGGACTATGCAAATTATACATTTCATATTGGGTGAGTTGTGGCAGTTTGTGATTTTCAAGAAACTGGTTTAT